TCTATATGTAATATTATGTCATCTGTAAATGAAGACAGTTTTACTTCTTTCTTTCCAACTCAGATGCATTTTATTTATTTTTATTGCCTTGTCATTCTGGCTAGGACTTTCTATGTGTATTTAATAAAACTGGTGAAAGTAGGCATCCTTGTTTTGCTCCTTGTCTTAGAGGAAAAGCTCTGTTTTTCTCCAACATGTATGATGTTGGCCGTGGGTTTGTTATATATATGGCCTTTATTATGTTGAAGTGTGTTTCTTCCATATTTACTTTGTTGAGAGTTTTTATAAAAAATGAGTAATAAATTTTGTCAAATGATTTTCTACATCTGTTGAGATAATCATATGATACTATTTTTCATTTTGTTAATGTGTATCACCTTGAATGTCTTATTCATGTTTATAACCCTGATGCTTGGCACAGAATAGGAAACTAGTGAACATTTTAAGGTGATGAGTTCAATTTTGAACAAGCAGAAGTTTGCTAGTTCAAGATATTGGAAGAAAGATGGGAATTCCAGGCAGAGAAAACAGCACATACAATGGTACAGAGACATGAAGGAGCAAAATCAGTTTGGAAAAATGTAGGTAATTCAGGAAGGCCAGCAGCAAGCAAGCATGCCTGTGATGTGCCCAATGGGGTATCAGAAAATTAACCGAGTTGGGATTAGGAAGGGCCTTATATGCTTAGCAAAAAATTTGAGCTGTATTTAAAAATGTCGAGGAAGGATTTTAAACTCTAAAGTACGTGGTGAGATCTGTGTTTTTAATCAGATTTGTCTAACAGCTAGGTAAATGGTGGATTAGAGGGGCCCCAGAGTAAAAGCCGAGAGACCATGAGGAAGTCATTTTAATAAGTAAAGAGGATTCGAAGGCAGTGGTATTTGAATGAAGAAGGTACAGACTCATTAGCTTTTTAAGACTGAAGATCAGTAGGATGTGGCTACTGACTACCAACAGGCCCAAGGAAATGGAACATGGTCTTCACTGGAACTCCCCTTCAGCCACCTACCAGCCCATCTTCACTCAATTTGCCTCATATTCTTAACACTGACCTCTCACTGATGGGTGATGAATAATAAACAATAGGACTCATCACATCTATTTCTTATTTAAAGGAAAATAAAGTCTAAATGTTAAAGCTGGACACAGGCTTGGTGATCACCCAGACTGACTCCTGATTTGATATATGAACTCTGAAAAAGAAAAAGAAGACTCTTGTATGGTAATTGTGAAAATCAGTGACTGGGTACAGGGTCACCCTTGATTGAACCATCTGTTTAATTTCCCACATAGTACTTGTCTCTAATATTTTCTTGTGTATTAGCATATTTTCTACCTACACCTGCCATTAGAATATAATATTAAAGAGGAGAGTCCTGCCCTGACCTGTGTAGCTCATTTGGTTGGTTGTCATCCTTCAAAGCAAAAGGCTGCTGCCTTGATTCATGGTGAGGCATGTGCCTGGGTTGCAGGCTTGGTCCCGGTTGGGGGGCATATGAGAGGCAACTGATTGATGTTTCTGTCTCACATGGATGTTTCTCTCCCTCTCTTTCTCCCTCCCTTCCCCCTCTCTAAAAATAAATAAATAAACAAATAAAGCAGACTTCTGGACTGTCTAAAACAATCTTTTCCCCACATAGTAAACACTTAATGAACATTTGTTTAAAAATAGAATGAGCCAGGTATAATTAAGTTTGCCTCCTCTTGAACCAATGACTTTTATACAAGACCTTGGCTTAGAGGCAATCAATCCATAACTCTATTTCCTGTCAGAATTTTTTCTAGTCATCCATAAAGAGACTAGAATTCACTGAGCAGTAACATTGTAGTGCATGTGGCTTCAGGTGGTAAAGAGCTAAAAGTAATCGGCATTATACTTCCTTTAAATTATTAACCACTGACCACCTCAAACTTACTAGGATAGCTACTATAAAAACAAAACAAAACAAAAAGCAAGTGTTGCAAGGATATAAAATCATTGGAACCAATGTTCCAGTTAGGAATGTAAAATGGTACCATTACTGTGGAAAACACTAGGGTGTTTTTAAAAAGAATTAAATATGGAATAATTCATCAATTGCACCTCTTGGAATACACCCAGAGGAATCGAAAGCAGGGTCTCAAAGAGATGTTCTGTGCACCCATGTGAACAGCAGTGTTATTCACAACAGCTGAAGGTGGAAGCAACCCGAGTGTCCATCAACGGATGGATGGATAAACGAAGTGTGGTATATACAGGCTATGAATGTTATTCAACCTTGAAAAGGAAGGAAATGTTGCAATGTACTCTAACATGGATGAACCTTTAGGACAATATGCTAAGTAAAATAAGTTGGTCACAAAAAGACAAGTACGTATGATTCCATTTACATGAGGCACCTGCAGTAGTTACATTCACAGACAGAAAGTAGAATGGTTGTTGCCAGGGGCTGGGGGAGGGGGAATAGGAAGTTGTTACTTAACGAGCATAGAGCCCCAGTTTTGCGAGATGAAGAGGATTCTGGACATTCACACCCATGGAATTCACTTAACACTGCTGAATAGATTAAGGTGGTTCGTTTTAAGCTATGTGTACTTGTCACATTTTTAAAAATATTAACCACTGAAGTATGTACACCTACTATCTCATTTAGACCTTGTGATAACCCTCGACTGTCAGTAGAACAGTCCCATTACACAGTAAGGAAAATAAGGTTCAGAGGAGTGAAGTAAATTGTCCAAGACACACAACAAGAAAATAGAAAAGCTGAGCCTCGTATGCGGATCTCCTGGTTGCATGCCCAGTGCTCGTGCCTACCACACAGCGACACTTACTTTATGTTTCCTGTTAAGTTTCTCTCTCTTCCTAAATCTTCAGACAGCAGGTGTGAGTCATCTGTAAGTACAGTGAGAAAAGGTCACTCAACATTCACGCGCTGGCAAAATTGGAAGTCGTTGGCATGGAGTTGTGTATATGCCATTAGGAACTTTTGTAACATGGAATATCGGGGTCCCCCTGAACAGGAACCCCCCCACTCACATGGCTGGGGGAATGGAAGTGGAGGACAGCCATTGAGACTTACTTTGCATAACTAGAGAACTTGGCCAGTGTTTCTGTAGTGTTAAGTGGGCCACACTAGGCGTCAGGGAAATGGGTGTGACTCTAATTCCTGATATAGCTGCAGGGACTTGCTGCACCTGCTAGAGTAGCTTGGAGGCAGCTCCTACAGCATTGGGGCCATGCCTGCCCGCAGTGCCAATGGCAGCCAAGAAGGGCTGGAGATATGAGGAAGGGCAGCTGTAATGCAGTGTGGAAGGAGTTGGAAATGGGATTATGCAGGAAGATCTGTGCCAGGATTTAAACCCAAGTGTGGGGCAGGCATTGCTCTCTTGACCATGTGACTTGGGAGTGGTGAAGGCTGTTTTGGCCACACAGCTTGAAAGGATGCAAAAGGACCCCCACCAGCCTACCATGAGGAGGGGCCACACGAGTTTGAATGAAGGGCAGAAGCCTAGCTGAGTGCAGATGACAAGCCAGTACACAGATGGAATGCAGCCCCACTAAGCTACAGACTTCTGTATCTTTTCCTGAGATGCGGTACCTCTGACTGGCCTGGTTTGGCAAGGGGAGGTAGGACTGTGTGTTTGTGGGTGTTTTTTATTTCTAATGGGTGTGGTATTTCATGGCAGAATTCCACCTTTATTCTAAACCTGTATAACTTTTGAATAAATAGTTCCTTTCCTTTTCATAAGACTCTGGCATTGGGGTTCATAGTTCTTATGGGTGCTGGGCCATAGACCCCAGAGGAATGGAACCCGGGGTGGTTCTGTTGCACTTCAAGATGATCAGGAGAAGATGGGGGCTCTTTCTTTCAAAAAGGCTGCATTAACTCTCCTCCCACATGTCCTCTTACTAAGACAAAAGATGACTAAATGAACTTACAAAAATGAAGTAGAGCTAGTGAGCAATGGAAAGTGCACTGAGCAGGAGTCGAGCCTAACCCTCCCTACTGGGACCACCCATACACTGTGCAGTCCTGGGCGCACCCCTCCCTCTGCCCCCACAGTTGGCCTGCTGTTCCTGCCACCACGTCTGTGTACTAATTAGATTCCAACTGAGCTTAGAAGGAAGGACACAGGCTTCCGAGGGGAGTCAAAAATACAAGAGGATCATCTAGCCTCTGACAAATGTCTTTTATTTATTATGTGAAGTGATGGATACTCTACAAAGGTAGCCCTCATCCTTCTACCAGTTGGCAATTTATTTTTAAAATGAGACTACCCCGCTAATACCAAATTTTCCAAAGTATTTGCCTTGGTGATAAAGAGCAATGTCAGAATTGGAACACAAACTGGCCTGGTTCCAAAGTTTGCTGTTTTCTCCAGTTGAACAGTGTTAATTTCCACAGCCAAGTTAGAAAGAGCTATGCAAGAACCAAGGAGACAGAGAAGGAGATAGTTCCACCTGGCATCCAGGGGAAGGAGAATATGAGCATTGAAGTTGCAAGAAAAAGCAGTTGAAATAGGCTGGGGGCATGCATTGTGTGAAGCAAGAACACACAGCCAAGTCAGGGTGGTGGAGAGTACAGAGTCTCTCGGAAAGCCTGTAAATTGTCCTGCTCAGGTTCAGGGTCGTCGTTGAGCTATGCCTGGAGACAGTTCCACCGCAGGGTGAAGAACCTTGAATGCCATGCTGTGGGGTTTAGAATTTGTTTACATAGGCAGGAGGAAGCCATCAAAAAAGTTTGTACAAGAGGTTTATCAACAGTTGTCAATATTATCTCCTTTATAGATGTTTTTTATATGTTGTGAAGAAATAACATATTCAAAGGGTTTCAGAGAGGATACAGTTATTTTCACTCCGTCTCTCAGAGGCCGTGGCACTGCCGGCTGACCTTGCTCAGTGAGTAAGCAATGGCGTTGCACTGGTACTGGGAGCCCCTCAGCAGGCACAGTGGTGTCAGCTAATCTTGCTGCTTTTTCCCAAAATAATAAGACTTTCTATTTTCCTTTATGTTTAGGAAAGATTAAGAAACTTCAAGGAACTACAAGCTAAATTTCAAAAGCTTGATGTGCCATCTCTTCCAGGACCTATTCAGTTCCCAGCAAGTGTTTCTCACAAGGGGGACGTTGGAAGCACACAGTCAGTGAGGACCTGGGCCAGCGGGAATCCGCTCTCATCCGACCACAGTCAGCCTCCACCATATCCTTCCGGTGGTGAACCCCAGCCTCTTGAAGCCCAGAAAATGCAGCTGGCACAGAGGAGTGAGATTCAGAAGTGTTTCAATTCCCCAGGCCCTCCGGGAGGGTTTGCTTATCCTGCAGTGAATTCACAGAAGGCTTCTCTGCTTTTAGACATGAATCAGGCAAACGCTAAGATAACCAATGAGAAGAAATTGGTGGTGACCAGCAGCTTCAGAAACAAGCTCTGGAACTGGGAGAAGGTTTCATCTCAGAGCAGTGAAATGTCATCGGCCTTCCGCCTCGCCGATCGTGGAGGCAGGGCTTTCCATCCAGGAGACCAGAAAAGCACAGGCCTTACTATTCCAGAGGGGCCCAGGAAAGAGCTGCAAATAAAAGGATCCCAGACTCTTCCTTCCCAGAGGCACTTGATGGCCCAAAGGAAATCATGTGCAAAGAAAACCAGCTCAGAAGATCCCACTTTTCCACTTTCTCCACATGGAAGGAAGAGCCTGGAAAGGTCCCATCCTGAGAGGGGCCCAGTGGGGAGCACCTCCCGGCCTATCTACGAGAGGGAGCTTGCCGGCTGGCCCCCAGGTAGGAAATCTAGTCCGCACAGGTGAGGGGGGAGAGGTCACTGTGTTTTTCTAAGTTAAATCTTGCTGACTTGAGAAGGTCACGTATGTGACCTCAGCAGTATTTGCTCTAAACTACAATACAGGTATTCTAGGACCATCTGCTATATGGTAATTTCAGGTTCGGGCAAAGTGACTAATCTCCTAGAATTAAATTGAGACACAGTTTGGGCAAACTTAGATTTGCATTGTAGTTCTCCTTCTTACAAGATGCATGAACTTTAGTAATCTTACAGAGCCAGATCTGCTGTCCTAGAAATCAAATTCATTACCTATCTTCATTGTTTTGGTAAATGGGACAACCATCCTTCTCTGTGGGGGCAACGTTGCTCTCAAGTCCCCCCCATCTGCCACGGATGAAAGTAAACACTACCAAGACATGATTCGCTTGGGGAGGAGAGGTAGCCAGTTTCTCAGGCTTTTATTGGGTTGTAATACACGTGAATACAGGACAGCAAGGATCAAACAGTAGATAACATTTCAAAGAAATCTGAGAGCTTAGTCTGAATCACAGTCTGTCAGGAAAAGGGGTTGCAGAAACTTTGGGAGACATGCTCATGTCCTGCTCAGACCCTTAACATATGAATGAAAGCACTCTTAGCAAAGCAGATCCCACAGGATTTTTAAGAATTCTTTCTAATGCCAGATTTCCCCTAGATCCACTTTAGCAAGGCAAGGAGCTGCACCCCCTCTCCATCAGTTTTTCAGGCTTAAGTGGATTAGAGCCAGGAAGCACTTCTCCCAGAGGACATGGGGACTCTGGCTATGTCACATAGCCAGGGGGCCAGGGTCCATTGTTCCCTCTTTGTTGCAGCCCCCCCCCAGTCCTTCCATGATGGCCTCCCAAGTGATCGAGTCTGGCTTAGGTTGCCCCCCTCTCTGTGAGGAGTCTCACCCATCATGGACTTCTGACCATGCGTTGGGGACAGGGAGAGGAAACTAAGGCAGCATTTGCTACCTGAGGCAAGCTTTTGTCTCCTGTGGCTCATCACTTCGGAGGTCACTCGCTCATCCTTAGCCATGGGGAGTAGTTACAATTCCTGAAACCAGGCAGAGCAGTCCCCAACACTCCTCACTGCTCACACCCTAAACCTAGGAATTGTGCTCTATTCCCCTCCCTTTCTTTCTTTGCATTCAATCTGTTAGCAAGCTTTTGGTTCCACTACAAAAATACGTTCTGATCCCTCCACTTCTGTCCATTTCTGCCCTCTGCCCAGGCCCACATCACAACCATCTCTCGCTGCACCACCGCGACGGCCGCACTGGTCTTCCTGCTCTCCCGCCCTTGCCCTCTCACAGCCCACTCTCCTCCTACAGGCGCAGTGATCCTCAAGGACGCCTTCCCGGGTAAACCTTCCCTAGCCTCTCCAGCTAAAGACCCCTAGCCCACCACCCCGAGTTTGCACTCTTTTATACCATCCTGCTCTTCTTTCCTTTATAGAACTAATAGACCTCTGTTATTACCTTGTTTATTTATTTACATGTTCATCAGTCTTGTCCTATTAAAATAAAGATTTCTGAGGGCATGACTCTCTCCCCAGCCCCTAGAACCATACCTGGAACACAGTGGACAAACAGTTATTGATGAAGAGATAGGAAGGAAGAGGGGATGAGTGGGTGGAAAGAAGGAAGGGTGGATTGGTTACCTACCCAGTAGAATTATTAAGAGGATTAAATGAGACAACTCACGTCAACACTGAGCACAGTGCCTGGTAAAGATGAGGGGCCCAATACCTTAGTGATCATTTGTTTTCACTGTGTCTTCTCCTTAATCTGATAAAGACAAGTTACTGACATTGGAACTTAAAATTACAGTCGAAGAAGAGAGGAACTTTGGCCCTGCTGGGAGGGCAAAAAGGAAGCCCCCCTCCCCGCTCACACGGGACAGCAGGACTTGGAGAAGGTCACACTGGTGTATTCGGGACACACAGCCCTGGTCCTTTAGTTTCCCATTTAATCAACCACTGCATTGTGTGAGCCAAAATCAAAGCACTAGGGCACTAGAAGATTTTCTGCTATTTTCAGAAGCAGCAGATACAATTTTTGTGTATCATATTGGAATTTCTGTTGGAATTTTTATTTTTAGTGCAGAAGGATAAATATAAAAAATTGGGACTATCTTGCAAAATTCCAGGACCCAAAATTCACAGGTGCCTGTGTACCAAAGTCAGCCTTGAAGGCTGTCCTAGGCTATGAGTCCTGGAAATCAGAGATTAATTCTCCTCTTCATAGCACACATGTTATTTGCCTGTCGTAAGTGCCTGAAGAATTCTTTCAGGGAATAGATATGTCCATTTCCTGTGAATCAGGCCCTGTGCTTGGTGCTGGGAAAAGGTCCATATGGCCTAGGCCCTGCCCTCAGGAGCCCACATTCAGTGGGAAGTTAGACCAGCCCCTCTATACACCACAGCACCGCTGGAGAGGTATTAGTGATGTGCATTGCGGATACCAGTTAGAGTTATCGATTCTGAACTTGATTTCTGATAGAAATCAAGAAAGGCTTCCTAGAGGAGGTGTCACTGGAGCAGGGCCTAAAGAGAGTTGAAATTTGGCAAGAAAGAATAATGGAACAGCATTCTAGAACCAGGAATGTCATGTACAAAACCTTGGACATACAAGAGCCTTTTAAGGCTTTTAACGTCAAATCTAGAGAACTGAGAACCCTGCCTGTGGTGTAAGTGGGAGACATTTGGGCTGCAGGTCAGGGAAGTAGGAGACTGAAGTCCGATAAGAAAATAATCTGGAAATGTCGACTGGGGCTGTGTGGTGTGCTGTTCAAACGCCGAAGAAGGGAGCGAGCAGATGTCATGCTGAAGAAATCAGGCTTCTTCTTCGGGGCCGCAGGATGGCGACTAGATCTGATTTGCGTTTGGATCCGGGCCTGCTGGCTACTGGGTGGAGAGCGGACCGGAGGGGAGGAGTGAGAATGAGACAAGGAAACTGGTCAGTTTCACCCAACAAGCCATGTGATGGGAATGATTAATAACCCACATTTTGGACTGTTTTGCGTTCAGAGAAACAGCTGGATGTCAAGCATCGCCAGCTTCCCAAAACAAAGCCACTGCCTTCCGTGGAATCCCTGGGTCCTCCTCCCACGAAGCCACCAAAGCCTCCAGCCGTGAACCTGCAGGCCTTCCAGAGGCCGACAGCTGCCTTTCCCAAGAGCCACAGGGAAGGTGAGGAAACGCGCTGCGCCCCTCCCCCCACCCCCACAGCCAGCCAGGGGAGTCTCAGCTGGCTCCGGTACGGGTTTCCCCGGTCACCTCCCTCTCCGCCTGAGCTCCCAGGTGACAATGCTGAACTGCTTTTCCATGGGGTTGGACATCCATCACTGCTTATTCTTGTGTAGAGGCCATGGCAGCTTGCCCGTGAAATGACAAATTTGCGGGAATTGGCCCCTTATCGCTCCCGAGCCAGCCCGCTTCCCCGGAGAGCTCTGCATTTGATAACTGGGAATCCGTCCAAGAGGAAGAAACCGAAAAGGAGCAGGGCAGGGAGGCAGGGAGCCTTTGTGTTTCTTATAAAGCCTGTGTTGTCAACACAACCTGCGCAGCAGAGGAGGGAGAGGGAGTGCAAAGGGAAGCGGGGAAGCAAACAGAATGAACTTGACCTGCAGTCCTGACGGGGGTCCCTCAGGCCTCTGTGATCTGCCTTCAGTAATTCTTGAAGGGCTCCCATCCCTGCCCCTACTGGCCCTTTCCCTGTGCTGTTTCTCTGTGCTGTTACGTGTCTTCCTCTGCCACACAAAGGAGCACTTACTCACGCCCGCTGCACCCCCGCTGCAGTCTGATCCTGTTGACATGTTAAACACCTTCGCTTCTGTTTGCTGTAATGAGACATGAGGTAAACATACACTTTGGTGTTGAACAGACTGCTGGGCTAATATTTGTTTCACTGTGACCGTGAGGGCCAGCAGGGGGTCCACTAAGAGAGCTACCTCAAGTTCATTGCTCATTTGACAGCCTTGGGCAGCCACATGGTTACATTTCTTGAACTCAGAGGTTCTCACACTTCAGCATGCATCAGAATCACCCAGAAGACCTGTTAAAACCCATTGCTGGGCCCCAGAGCTTCTGATTCATGAAGTCTGGGTTAGAGGCCCGAGCATTTGCCTTTTTAACAGGTTGTCTGGGGCTGTCAGTGCCACTGGTCCAGGAACCACGCCTTGAGAAAAACTGCTCTATATCATCTGACGTCTTATCCTAGAGTAAAATTCTCTTAGGATTATACTTTAAGGCTGTGGCCACCTCCATATCAGAGAAGGCTAAGTATGATGTTTATAAACATTGAATAATTTAGGCCTCAAACCATCTCTCTGAAATGGAAGAAGGCTGTCAGAGAACATAGAACAAAGTACTGAGGTTTTTGTTGTAAAACGGGCTTTGCAAATCCCTACTTCCCCACTCACTAGCTATTTAAGTTTCCGAATGTTACTCACTGAGCCTCATTGTCCTTGCCTATAAATGGGGGTAATAATAACACTCATCTCCTAGGGTTTTTGAGAGGATAAATGAATGAGATGAGGCATGGAGAGACTTGAGAGTTACTGGCACATGAGTAAGTGCTCAGTAAATGCAGTATTATTATTTCAGTCATGCATTAAGTGGCTATACTCTCTTTGCCAGGCGCCGAGATATGCAGAAGAGACTAAGAGAAAAACCCAGCAGACATTCTGGTACTCCAAGAGGTCAAGGTCTAATACAAGAGACTGTACTCCTAATTAGGCCCCGTACAGTGTAGGGGAGGGCTGCAGGGCAGGACGGATGATCCCCCGAGTGATGGGGGACGGGAGGCTTGGCGCACAGGTGAGTTGCCGATCCACATCCTGTCTCCAGGGCTAGGTCACCGCAACAAACGTAACTTGCTTTAATAAGGCTGCCACTAATGTCTGTTTTTCACTTTTCCTTTTGCTTTTGCAGCAGCTGTGGAAGAAGGCTACCTGCCTCTAGAGAGGTAAGTACCTGTTTTTTAATTGTGCAAGAGGGTAGCCGGCCAGCAAAGCTGCTGAGCCTGCCCAAGAGCAGGCAGCAAGCACAGGCCAGGGGTTGGTATTTCTCCAAAGGGTTGCGGGAAGAGCAGGTTTATAAGCTACAAATTGCCACTCTTGTTTTAAATGAGAGGTTAAATAAACCGCATTTAACAGCATGCTGATGTTAAGTTGCAAAGATGGTCCTCGGAGGTACTTTTATTTATTGTACAGTTGGGTTCAGTAAATTGAAACATCCACTTCCATAGTAACAAATTGAATTACAGGCTGAATATTGAATATTAAACAGAATACCGAGGGCAGCTGGCATGTTACAGAGGACCTCCTGTTTTTGGTGCACTCATTCTAAGAACTTTATCACGGAAGCGGCAATTCATTAATGCACTCAGCCCAGGACTGTCGAGCCCTCTGATGTGTGCTGTGCATTGAACTGCCCGCTTGATACAGATGTTCTCATTTCATCTTCTCAAGAAGGCAGTGAAGTTGCTGCCACTGTCTTCATTTTATAGCTAAAGACACCAGGGCTGAGAACGTCTGCCCCTGGCAAAGCTGTGATTTTGACTCAGGTTTGCCCCAACTTTTTTATTGTGGTATAACTGACATATGACACTGTAAGTTTGAGGTTCACACCCTGTCCAATGGATACATTTATATTTCGCAACATGATTTCGACAGCAGCCTTAGCTCACACCTTCATCACCTCATAATTCTTTCTTTCTTGTGTATTGAAAACGGTTAAGATCTAGTTTCTTAGTAACTTTGAAGTTTGTAATATTTGTTTTTGCTGTAATCACTATGTTGTGCATTAGCCCTTCAGACTTATTATGTGCTAGTTGCCAATGGACTGGGGTTGCTCCTCTGTCTGGGGTCAGCTTGCCTCTGGCTGAGCTGGGATTGCCGGGGCTGGGATGACTGGTGTGACCCGACTTGGCACCGCCCGTCTCACCCTCCAGCCAACTGAGGAATGCCCTCCTGACAGTGGCAGCAGACAAGCCCACCTGCACAAACATTTCCCAAGCCTCTGCTGTATCACATTTGCTAACATCCTGTTGGTCAAAGCAAGTCACATGACCAACCCAGAGTCACAGTGGGGTCCCAGGCCCTGAAACTTGACATAATGAAATGCAGGGTTCTAGGAAGGGGTGAAGAATAGTAGCATCAATCCAGTCAACCTAGCACTGAAGAGCAAATATTTGACATGAGTATTGAGAGTCAACATCTGCTGGATAACACAGGAAGAGGCCCACAGGCAGAGGAAGGAAGGATAAACTGACACATCTTATGTTGGAAACTAGAAATGCAATAGTTAAGTGGAGTTAGAGTAGAGAAAGTGTTATAAGGATGGGAAGAAAAATGGGATTGCCAAGATAGATAGGAATCAAATCATGGAGGATCTTGTACACCACGGAACAGGTGAGACAATCGTCTTCAGCAAGGAGCTGACTGTGCGATTCATGTGCTCCAGGAACACTTAGGTTAGTGGCTCCGGTTACAGGACAGCACCAGGTGGGTCAGTAGAAATGCGTTCTCTGTGCATGCATTTGGATGTAGGAAAACAACGGTTTGCATTTTTTTCTTAGAGGAGCCTCGTCCCCTGTGTGACAATGGGAAGGGACAATGGCATTCTGATGAACCTCGAGTCAGCCATGGTTCCCTCATGCCTCACATACTGTGAGCATCTCGGTGTGATTGCATATGCCCTGATTGAAGACTTTAGCTAGACATGAATCTTTGCTGCTGAACTGAGCCGACTTCTCTCACACTTTCATCAGAGAAACAGCATCCTTTTCAGCCCTGGGCACAGACTTGCTGTGATGGGCAAGTACTGGGAAACAGCAGTCAGTCTCTAGTGTGGCACCTTGTTCCTAGGGATTTGCAAGGGCAGTTTGACTGTACTGTTCTTTCATATTGACAACAGAACCGAATCTGCTCTCATCTGAAGTGAGATTCGTTGTGTATCAAACGTCACGTGGGGCATAGTGCTGTGGAGTGAAAGAAGAGGGGAAGAGGGACCAGGAATCTGAGGGGCAGCTTCATGGAAGAAGAAAGGACTTGAGATGTACCCTGCTTGGTGGGCTGGGATTAGACAGCTGTTTTGTTCCCTTTTGTGAGGTTGTAAGATGGGTGAAGACAGGGTATTGTTCTTGGAAATAACCACATTGTTGACTTACAGTTGGTTAGTGAATGGAATGATGGATGGAGGGGTGGATAAAGGAGTGGGTGGATGGATGGACAGACCAATGGATGGACCAATGCCTGTTTAGTATAGAGCTAGAACATAACTGAAAGCAAGGCAATAATAACAAAAAGGAGGATGTGAACAGACAAAAATATTCTAATATGGGCCCTGGCTGCTGTGGCTCAGTGGACTGAGCTCCAGCCTGCGAAGCAAAGGGTCACTGGTTTGGTTCCCAGTCAGGGTACGTGCTTGGGTTGTGGGCCAGGTCCCCACTAGGGGGCGCACAAGAGGCAACCACACATTGATGTTTCTCTCCCTCTCTTTCTCCCTTCCCTCCCCGCTGTTTAAAAATAAATTAATAAATTAAATCTTTACAAAATATTCTAATATGGGAAAATAAGAGGTGAGGTTGGATCTTAATGTGCAGTAAGTGCCATACTAAGGACTTTGAACTTCATTTCGTCAATAATGAGAAATTCGTTTGAACCCCATAAATATCTGTGACCCTGCATGTTCTCCTCTAGCTGCAGGTAGCATAAGGCCGCTGGTCCCCTGCAGGCACCTGCAGACTTTGGCCCCACCCTTAATCATCTTTGTGAAAGTGGCGAGGAAAGGGTGTTGTTTCTTCTTGCCAGATTTCTGAACCCTCATCTATTTAATTATCTCAGCCCAGGTGACAACATATATTTTGGCCACTCACGACCCCCCTGTTTTGGGCAATGAACAGAAATCAGATACTTGACTCCTGATTTGGGGAACCATCCCTCCCTCCACCCTGTATCACTGGCAAATATTCATTGCTCTTGAACTGAGGAAGTAACATTGACATGACTGATAAATGAGCAACTGCAAAATCAGCTTATTTAGCCATGTGATTCCAGTGTTTTTAAATGTGTGAGAATCATCTCTGAATTTCTGCCTTTCTATGGATAATGTTTTCTTTAGACTTTCTATCTCTGCTGGAGATTGGAGGAAAGGTTGATATTCATGAAGTGTATTTTGCTAGAAATCTTCCATATCATCTAGCTTTTCAAATGCATTGGTGATTAGATTTGTAAAAAAAAAAAAAAATGTCCAGTGGTTTCTGCGTAAGTCCTATAGTCCAAAATAAATTATTGTCATGTTCTTCCTGAAAAAAAAAAAGAAATTAGTTTGAATGAGTAAATGCCATGATGCTGAACAACCTTAGATACACCTTCCACGGAAACTGGTGCTTATTTGGGATGAACCTGTGTTCACAGAATTAATCTTCAGTACAGATACTGTGTTAGCAATGGAGCAAGCAGGACCTCACTGCCAGAAGGGGACCCAGCAATTATCTGGTGTCGCCGAGGCATGTGGTACAATGTTAACAAAAACCTGGGTTTTAAATTCATGCCTTACCACTTACCAGCTACGTAAACTTGGACAAATGCCTTCACCTCTACAAACCTCAGTTTCTACTTATGTAAAATAGGGTAGTGGTAGTTCTTAAGTCATATCATTGTGGTGAGGATTAAATGAAATCATGATAGTGAAGTGTTTAGTGCAGTGCCTAGCATTTAGAGTATCCAGTAAAGCTTCCTTAGCGTTTGTACAACCTTCCACCAAAGGCAAGGATTTATGCTCAAAACCTCAGTCTCTTTAAAAATCCTTTGATGGGGAGTTCATTACCTGGAGAGTCCAGCGTTTTTCTCTGTTGGGGCAGGTTTTATTTGTTTAACACACATTTATTGAACATCTACTATATGCCAAATCCTCTTATATATTGTACATTGAGAATACAGCAGTGTATAAAGTAGACAAAAAATATCTTACATGTACTCACACGCACACCTGTGCACACACATTGGTTTGTTTACTCAGAAATTGTAGTGAGCTGGGAAGAACAAAAACCTTCCTACCCCAGACTCACAACCACCTGGCCCAGATCTGCTCATTGGCACCAAGGACACTATCTTTACCCCTTCTCTGCAAGACAGTTCTTAAAAAAAATCTAAGGGCTGTATTCTTCTTTGAATTAAAAAATGTTTTTTCAACCATCATTTATAAAACAAGAGTCCTTGTGTTTTAGCTATATTTCAGTGGAACCTACACACACACATACATATTTAATCATCTTGTTAGGAACTTGGTGCATTTGCAGTAACCATTTTTGTTCCTGAACTTCAGGTCTGGAGTCAGGTTCAGACCTGCCCTTAGAACTTTAACATACACATCTGCAGAGGGGACACAATAATACGTAATTTATTGAAAATGAGATGAAATGCATAAATCACAGTGAATACAGAAGGTGCTCGCTGAGTCTTTGTTTCCTCAACCCTGGCCCCCCCCACCTCTGCTGTCTCTGGAATATTAATATCTCCTTAGTTCACAACAGTGAAATGACTCCTTGGAGATTGTTCTTTGCCACCACTTTTTACACGAACCAAGCTGGCTGGCATCCCTCTTGACTCACAGTCCCTATTTGTGTGAGCAAAGCAGGTTAGTCTCAGAGCAGCCCTCAACACTGGGTCTCCATCAGTACTTAGCAGAGATGGCTAATATTTTATTCATTAGCTATAACTCTGCCTTTTCCCCCAGTAGGAAGTATCAGAATCGTGCTGACTCAGGAAATCTCAGACTAGACACTAAGGAAGGGAGAAGCTGTTTATTTCAGAAGCAGAAAAGACTCAGACAGTTCAGGGTTTCTCAGATTCTGGTCCATGGGTGGATCTCAGTAGTCTCGCACTTTCTCTCCTGAACTTTTAAATTTTGTGTTTTTGTTTTGATGATGGTCTTTAAAAGAGACTCTAAGTCTATTATGAA